TTATATTAATTTTCTGCTTCTAGATCGTTTAGGTTTCGGTGGTTGGGGATTGTAATAAATCTTGTAGTCGTAACCGCTTTTTTGTAGTGCTTCTTGATATGGGGGAATGGCGGAATCAAATGATTGCTTATTCGATGATATGTTGGATAGTCTATTGTTTATGGCTTGCGGTATTGATCGTAATATTGATGGTGGGCGGTTACTTTCGCGGTTTACGTATTGTGGTGTGTTTCCGGGTTTCGTATAAGGCTTGTATGATGCGGATCGTTGGTCAAGTGTGATGTCTAGGTAGTTGACGCATTTCTTGTTTGCTTCGATAGTTAGTTTTAGGTTGTGATCACTGAAGACTTTGCAAATGTGTTTTTTGTTGATCTCTGTTTCTCTCGGTGTTTTGTTAAATGCTGCAAGACCGTCATCTCTGTAGAGGCCGATATCATTGCCGCACTCTGGTGCAAGCTTTGACAGTAGATATGAGCCTACTAACAAACATGTTTCGGCACCGTCAAGGCTTCCCATTGTAACGTCGAAGAGTGATTTTGTTGTTTTCTTGCACCAAGTTGTATTTCTGCTAAAAAGTAGTGATCTTTTTGCTTGCAAGATGATCTTTTTTTCGTTGTCGGTTATAGTATCGTATTGGGAAGCGAATGCTAAGGCTTCATTGGGTAATTCTTCAGATATAGATGGGTAGAAATCTACTACATCGATACTACATCGAAGGTTATGAAAGATCGGGTGGATTTATTTGGCGTGTTTTGGCATATATATAGCTTAAGTTTTTGGTTACCATATAGATAGAGCGTAATATAGTTTTTCGTTTTACCTCAAAAAACCACAACAGTCTGTTTCATCCATATAGGAATCAACAGGTGGTGAGTAATTTCGAAAATGTAGGTTGCTTTTATGCTATCGAAAGAATGCGCGGAATGCGTGTAGGCGAAACAATGCTTAGGCGAAACAATTGATGCTTAGGTGAAATAGTGCGGCTTAGTCGAAACAATGCTTGGGTCATAAAGTTTTGTTAACGACCTTGTTTACTCGAAACCGGTTTTTGTGACGACACTTGGCGAAAATTTCGCTTCTTTTATTGAGTAAATTATCTTTGTTTATATCTTTCAAAATGCAAAATTTTTGTTCCAAACATAAATTACAGCGTTTTGATCCCCCTGTGTGCAAAACAGCGTGTTTTAAAATTGACCATTAATTGATGGTATAATCGTGATTGTTTTCTTTTAATTTCCAAATATGTTTCGAAAGTTCCCTTTTTTTTAGTCTTTTTTATGACGAAAAGATGAAGTGACGTCGTTAGAATACGTTCCTTAAATGTGGTCGCTGTCACACCAATGTAGTGTTTAGTGTCGTTCGTGTTGTTCGTTGTGACTGTGGCTTTGTAAAGCCTTATCATGAAAGAAAGAAAGTGATTAATGCAGTTAGTTCAGATAGTAATGATAATCAAACAGCTGAAGAGCTGGAACTTTTTAACTTATTCGAAACAACTAAACTGAGAAACTCCGACATTCGTCGGCAAATGGATTCCAAACTAGCTGACGCACCTTCAGCAAAGTCAACAAGATGATATACAAGAACTCGTGCGAGAGTATTCTGATTTATTTCCTGATGTACCAACTCGGACGACTATGATCTCACACGACGTAGACGTTGGTGATGCAGTACCAGTTAAACAACACCATCTCGCTTAAACCCCTCCAAACAAGAATCCCTGAACAAAGAATTACGATATCTTCTCGAGAACGACCTGATCGAGCCTAGTCAGAACAGTTGGAGTTTACCCTGTATTCTAGTTCCGAAGTCGGACGGAAGTTAAGTTATCGTATGTGTACGGATTATCAAAAGGTAAACCACCTCACAAAAACGGACACGTTCCCTATTCCACGAATGGACGATTGCGTCGATAAATTTGGTAATGCAAAGTACGTCTCAAAATTTGACCTATTAAAAGGTTTTCGGCAGATTCCTTTGAGTGAACGGGCGAAAGAAATCTCGGCTTTTGCTACCCCGTATGATTTGTACCAGTATAAAGTTATGCCTTTTGGTATGAAGAATGCACCAGCAACCTTCCAGTGCCTCGTCAGTCCCTCATCGCCGATATTGATGGATGCGAAGCTTATATTGATGATGTGATTATTTATAGCAACACTTGGGAAACACACCTCGAGATTATGCGAAAGTTTTTCCAACGGTTACGCGAAGCTAGCCTAACAATTAACCTCGTGAAAAGCGAATTTGGATGTGGCCATGTGACCTACTTGGGACATATCGTTGGGCAAGGTAAAGTAAAACCTATTAGTGCAAAAATCGAAGCCATTTCTGCGTTTCCACATCCTTCCACAAAGAAGCAGGTCATGCGTTTCCTCGGCATGGCAGGTTACTACCGAAAGTTTTGCCCAAATTTCTCTACTGTTACTCAACCCCTAACCGAGCTACTGCGAAAGAACGTTAAGTTTATATGGACAGAACATTGTCAATCAACTTTCAACCGACTTAAAGCCTTGTTGCAAAGTGCTCCTGTTTTGTCCGCGCCACATTTCAGCCGCCCCTTTAAACTATCTGTAGATGAAAGTCTACAGTTGAAAAAGAATGCCTTGCCCTTATCCTCGCCCTTCAGCATTTTGTCGTGTATGTTTCTTCAGCTGGAGTTCCTATCGAAGTATTCAGTGATCACAATCCACTGATTTTCATCCACCGAATGAAGGACAAGAATCAACGTTTGTTGCGATGGAGCTTGATCTTATCGGAATACAACATTAACATACAACACATGAAAGGACAAGACAACTTGATCACTGATTGTCTTTCAAGACCATGAACACTTGACGAACACGCTCAGTTGAAAAGAAAGTTAAGAAACTTTCTTTCTTTCAAGGAGGAGGGTATTACACGATAATGCTTATCATGTAATTTTGCATATATGAAATATTATTATACTATACTTATTTAATAGCTTATATGCATGAGTAAGCAAATAGTTTAAAGATTAAAATGTCCCACAACTAACGTAGCGGACATGACTCGGTTGGCGTTGGCCGATTTGTGGTTACTGAGATTTGCTTCAACGAACTGTATTGCGTAGGGGAAATGAGTCGTTGGAGAACTAGTACTGTTCGATGCTGAATTAATATAAAAACGAGTATGTTTATGACATTCAGTAAATATTTCATAATTTCCGGTCTTAAATCCGTCTGACCGTGCAGCTCAGTTGGTAGAGCGTCGATCTAGCAATTCGAAGGTCGCGGGTTCAAGACCCAGCCGCGGCAGACTTTATCTTTCTGCTTACGCTGGGTATGGAAATTATATAATACACACTCGAGAACATTTTCATCTTAATATATATATATATATATATATATATATATATATATATATATATATATATATATATATATATATATATATATATATATATATATATATATATATATATATATATATATATATATATATATATATATATATATATATATATTACATATAATTTTTAAAATGAACAAATTTTTCATAGACAATCAAATTTGAGAGATTTTAAATTACAATTATCGGTTAAATCCTTTGATGTTTTCTTAGACAACATGTCAAAAATTTTTGCCACTAAAAACAATAAATCTATGTACCAAATTACGTCATAAGAATTAGTTCAAAAATAAGTGACTTGATGGTATTTAAATTGTATTTCTGTGATTTACTTACCCAACGCCAGGATCAACTCATTGACATTAGGTATTATACGTATTTCCCAGTGTTTCACCAATGTTCTTCTGGAATAAATATCAATTCGGTTGTTGTCTTTATCCAATACATAAATATATAATCGGTCTATCACTACACGAATTTCTCCAATGTACCAGATCCCGAGGTTTCTTGTTACTCCCGCTTTAGATGTGCATAGAAGTGTAAAGCGGTTATTGGAGGGATCGTAGATGACCCAGTATATAGTCCCATCTTCAAAGACATAGAGTGATTGCCCAAAACCACCATCATAAGTGATCACGCGAACTGATGAGCTTCCACCAAGGTCGTACAGAACAATTGATAAACTGGATGCAGTTACGATAACAAGACAGCTGAAAAAAGTATGGGGTAAAGAGCTTGTTAATGAATACATTTGGTACTATTATGATTTGTAGTAAGCTCAAGATTTTATCATTACTCAAGCCGTATGAAATTAAAATTTTGAAAGGAATGATATACAATGCGGAATATTATCCTATATTTCTACCCCCAATCAAAACTGAATAGGAAGACCCGCGGCATAAATTATTAACTTAATCTTACAGATTATAAATCCATTGTACTAAGTCCAGCGAATAGAAATGCCAGATAAACTGTAAAACTCGATCACAAGTTATGGCTCTAACTTTGTCAAGCCTCATGTGTGCTTATAAATAAACCTATTGAATTGGAATGGCAGTCTAAACTCACTGTATAACCACGTACATATTTTGCCAAAAGAGACGGGGATAAGTGGAGAAGTCAATTAGCGTACATCGACGCGGAAGACAATGTTCTTTTACGAGTTTTTCAGCGTTATTATTTGTTTCTAATTTTCTACGTATACCTTCCATGATGGATGCTCAGCCATTTTGCTCTATGGAGTTCATACTGACAGTACACTGTACCATTAATCATTTCCAAGGTGCAGTCAGACTTTTGAGACTGAGGGGAATATGACAATACGAGAATGTAGTTGTTTCTTATCAAGCCAACTGCTGTATTTTATCACTCACGGTCAATTATGACTCAATTTCTATATGTTTTTCTCAAACAGTTCAAACTCATGTAATAATTCATGAAGAAAATTCAAATTAATTAAGTATTTAATCAGTATTTAGAAATTGGGGAAAGATTATAGCCGAATTTCGCCTACTTTAATCTCGATTTCCTCTTAAATACGGGTTCTTTTGAGAAGTAATTTTAAACACTCGTAGATGCATGTTCTTCCTCTGATTTCTAAATACAGACAAGCTGGTTAAAGAAGGTCGGCTTCGCGGCTCGTATTTTTAACCGGCTTGTCTGTATTTAGGAATCAGAGAAAGAATACTTACTTGTATCTGAACTATTACTTATCATCCTTGTTTACTTACTCATTCAATACATCAATGTCAAGATCTTTAATGTTGGAAATATGAGCCAGAGCACCAACTTCCATATCTTCCATACTTGTCAGGTTTAACATATGAATAGCTTCAACTCTTTCATGAAGATAATATACAACGTTACGACGACCATCATATGTGAACCGCCGAATATGCTCTTCCATTGTTGCCAAGGTTGTTATATTTGAGCCATCCAAAGTCACTCTGGATAAAGTTGTGCCTGATGCATACATTAAGATTTGACGATTATACTTGTCGTAGACCAGTTGAGAGTTAGGAGATCTCAAGAAAGAGTTTGGTGAAAGATCACCGGCCTTGGTGTTGTAAGTGTCGATTGTAGAACTGTTAGCATAATAGAGAATTGGTACTTGACAAACGTCTGAAGAAAAAGAGAACAATTTTGTATAACCAATTTCCGACTCTATATGGATAAAGTCAATCACACTACTAAACATTTATTTAAACGGGATATCGCCAGCACGTAACAACTTGTTAACAAGTTGATGGCAACAAGCTCATAGCAACTTGTTACGAACAGTCTGCATTAGTCTCGTTGTAACAACTCGTAGCTAGTCTGTTCACCATAAATTAGTCTGACGATACATTTCGATATAATATCGAAACATCACAAAATCATTCCCGTCTTGCTTTGATTCATATATCTCGAGTTTCAAGGAGTGTCACAAGTTAGGCACAAATTTTTGTTGTGAATGGACTTCGTGTTTAAATACAAGATGCGCCCTACTACGAATGATACATGCACTAAACATTTAAAACAACATTTCATATCTTCTGAACATTTATATACCAATGATGCAAAAAAAAGGAGTGTCATTATAAGTATTTCTCATACAGTACCTTCGCAATTTACGCCATCTCCGCTGAAACCTTCACGACACACACAGGTAAAAGAACCAGTTGTGTTAATACAGTTCGCATGAGCATGGCAATTATGTGATGCGTCAGCACATTCGTTAATATCTAAAATTAATATAGCATATAAATATTAAAATATCACCAAGTACCAAGTCGCATTACCATTGCAATAACGAATTTTCAGAATTCATCTGAATTATACGATAATGCAAAGCTCACTTCCCTTGTGGTCGTTTGAGCACTCTGGCCCCATTACGCTCTGCGCATGTCTGGATGCGTTGAGCGCCGTGTTGTACCACATGCCTTGGTGAGAGCAAGTTCATGGTGTATAAATACGAGTGTCTCACGCCAACCTAGACGTGTACCAAGCTGCACTGACGAGGCGTTGAACGCCGAAACATGCATGTCTGCAGATTGTACTATATATATATATATATATATATATATATATATATATATATATATATATATATATATATATATATATATATATATATACCGGGTGTCCCAAAAAAAATTACTCCGGTTTGATTTATAATAACTTCTAAACAAGTAAAGCTTCCAAACAGAAAAAACTTGCATTACATAGAGGAAGGACAAACTTAGATTTTGATATATTACAGTTGTAATTTACTTAGAAATTCACAGAGATATTAATGTTCAAAATCGGGAGCATACTTTGGGATGTGTCTAAAATTAGCGAAATTAATCGGTATATCAAATATTAACTTCAGCGTTTGTTTGCTTAATGACATATCAGGCTAACTTGTATTTCAGCGAATTGTTGTTAGGGTTTGTAAGGGATATGGCGTAGATTTAGACATCGTACATATAAGTCTTAGCTCATTGTCTCCAGAAATATGAACGTTCGAAATTATGCAAGTATTTAATAGGTTTTTACAAAGTTAAAGGTACATGAAAGACCATGTAAGGCAGGTGCTTAAATTTTTCTTAAATATAGCCTTACTCTTTTTTTATGTTTTTCATGGGTTCAAACCAGAGTTGATTATTTCTCGGTTAGAGCGGGATGAATATTATTCTTTAAGGAAGGAAATAATATTGCTTTTTGCAAATACACATTACAATATCAACGCTACTATTTTGTTACGTTTTGTTCCAAAAATGTTGGATGTCTCTGGGGAGTTGCTTGTTATGTCTTATGGAGTTGTATGGTTTCAATTGATTGTGTTTCATTCCCAGTTTATTCTGAACTTGCCAAGATTAAGAAACGGCAAAAGAGTTTGGGTGTTCTTAACAAGATTTCAAAACGTTGCAGAAGTTAGAAGAGCTTTACAATTTCACTATGACAGCATATCCTAATTCCGAACTACGAACGATCCATGACGATCCTTCGCGATGCAGTGGTCTCATGAAATAAGGAAACGTAGGCCTATTCGTGCTAGGAACACATGCGGATTTCGGACGAATAAATCTTGCTGGTATTTTGTATATAATAATACTTTGTTTCATAATAAACAATTTGTCAAGTGTCATTTATTTACTGGTAATAGTGCATGTTTTAGTCGGGCAAATCTTGATTAATATTTGATACGCCGTTTTTTGCATATTTCAGACACATCCAGAAATACGCTCCCGCTTTTAAACATTAATATCTCCGTGAAATTTTAAGTGAAATGCAACTGTACCGGACCGTTGCTGCCCGTAAATACTGTGTTTATTTTTTAGGAAAATTAAAATATCAAATTCATTAAAATTCCAGTATCAGTGTTGCATGCGAGCTAATTTGAGATCAGTGCGGTTGTGAATTAAAGTGAGAATGACAAAAATTGAAAAATTGAAAGATAAGCACGAATACGAAAACTCGAGAAAGATGGCAAGAAACACACAAAAATAAATATAGTTTCGGTGATGTGCATGCTTTTTTAATTCATGAATATGGTAGCAGAAGAGCATTGAAATAAAAAGTTTAGGCCTGGCGTTTTTGCTTTGTCCACTTGTCTTGCCGATAAAAAACACATAAAAATGAATCTGTTTTTGATTTAATCAACGCTTTTCTGCCAAAAGGACAATGAAAAAGGTATGATGTTTTTATATTTTTTGTATTTTTCTGGTCGTTTCACGTTAATATGCTTGCAAATGTGTTTTTAAACACAAACTTTGACTTTGTTTACAATATTATTTATATCAGTGAAAAATGCATCACTCACATGCACGGTATATAGAGAATATATTCCTGACTATATTTCACTGCTACAATTAAAACTTCTTTTAAGATTGCATGTATCAGGGGAAAACATTTCTTTTTCAATATCTGTTTCATTAAGCTGTAATTAAATACAGTGAGCGTTCCCGACGCACGTTTTATACATGTCAAATAACTTTCTGGTGTAGATTATTGCTTAGTAAGAAGTCTTTAGGGCTTGATGCAATTCATTTTCGTATTCTGACTATCGTCAGCTGGCTACGTTTTTTTTTATTTAAAAATTGTTTCACTCCTCGGTTTCACTGGCGCGGAACCGAAAACCAGAGCAGGTAGTTGATTTTCACAGCGAGCTGTCCCTTTTCAGAGCAGACCGGATGCAAAAAACCGGCCAGCTCTGCGACATTGCCTCATTTTCACTGATAACAAATAAATAAAATTATTATTCATTGTAAGCTACTATTTTCTCGTATTCTTATTGGTTGAAAGCCTACAAATAATTTTCCGTATCTCGGTGCAGACATGAACATGACAAATAAATCTCGTATCTGCATATGGACATGACAAATAAATATCGTATCTGTAGGTGCCAGCGTATTTTTGCAGCGATATTTTGCATGAATTATTTTGTTTTCACAATGACTTCTGCTGCTTCTGCTCGTTTTGAATAATTAACAATTATTGAATGAGGTTGAGCACGATATGAAGATTTATCAAGCCCGAAGTTTGCCGTTATCAACCGAAGCCGAAGGCTGAGGTTGATAACGGCAAACTGAGGGCTTGATCATTCTTCATATTGTGCGTAAATCGAATTCCATAATTGTTTTATTTTTTATTTAAAAAATTCAAAACATTTGTATTTTCAGTTGTATTAAGAAAAAAAACAATTCCTTAGTCCTTCGGCAGCCGTCGTCATATCAATAGGGACCTTTAGCTAGCAGGACGGCGACGGCTATTAATACAATGAAATTTATGACAGTGTAGAAAGAAAATGCATGATTAAAGGTCCCATGGGAGTTTTAGACGTCGTCCTTGCTCTGTTTACAACAGCAAACCAAAGATTTTCACGTTTTGTGCAGAACGTCCGCCTTTCAAGCCGCGAGAAGTCGCCCTCGCCAAATTGGCTTAGTAGAATTCTTCTCAACTATAAACCTCTGTCTTAACCTTCTTAAATTGCAATAAATCCGTACAACGGATAATGCAAGACATGTTGATCTTAAAGTCACTTATTCGAACGAGTTTATTTTGGCCGTCGTCGTCGCGTTGCCGTCACCTAATTGCTAAAGGTCCCTACTGGCGTCAGTAAGTCAATATGAGTTCTCGTCGTCATAGTAATATGGCGCAAACGCGTCCAAATTTTTTTCATATTGACTCTTTGCCTTCATTTTGCTAATATGAATGCGAAAAATCCATATTTGGTTAGCCATTGAGTTGATATGACAATTTCACAGTTGACTGTTAGCCAATCAGAAACCAGAAATTTTTTAAATAAATAATAATAAAGAATAATAAATAATAAAAGAATAATAATGAATGATAAAAGAATTATTGAATTCGGCTTACGCAGGATATCAGAATTATTCAGACCTCGGTCAGCGTTATCTGCCTCAACTTCGCTTCAGCAGATAACGCTGACCTCTGTCTGAATAATTCTGATATCCTGCTCACCCTCATCCGATAATTCTTTAGTATCTCCGGCTCACACATGACGCGTGGACACCACGTGCTGAAGCAATATGTGAGCTGTTGTTTGTAATTTCGTACAAAAAATTTATTGATTTAACTATTAAAAGATTTCGAAGAGGTATATAACCTTCGATGATCCAAAGGATACAGGCTCAAATATTTTAAAGAGAAAACGTGTAAATAAGAAATTAAACATTGACGCTTAGTTATTCAACAAGTTTATTCTCAACTTTGTTGGTTCTTTAACTTTATATTACCCTCCGCTCGGGGGATTCGCCGAAATATTACCCTCAGTGATGGTATATCCCTTGTGGCTTGATCACTAACATCACTTCGAGTAATATTTCGCCAAATCCTTCTTGCTCCAGGTGTATAAATAATAATTAGCTTATTCCGACCTCTCGTCTGTATGCACAATAAAAAATCGGTAAGGCAAACATTTGGACCCACATGACCATAGGTTTGTAAGGTTTACTTAAATCAATAATTATCCAATTAATGAACCGAATTATCCAATTAATGGACCTTTTCCACCTTGCGCTAATAACATCTGCATTCAATCGAAAAATTTTCACCTCACGATGAATTAAGTTATATCGTGCATGATATTGAAAATTATCCCCCAAGCGCCGTGCGAGGGTACTACTTCCGTTAATCAATGTAATAAAGTTAATCAATGATCGAGGGCGTGGGTGACCAATGTCAATGGTCATCCTTACTGATCTCAAAAATATGGCGGACTGTCATGAATAGCGAATACTGATTGGTCCAGTTTAAAATTTGCATTATAACGACTGCATGACGACAGCGAAATAGCAAACATTTCTTGATTTGATGCTTTCTTGCCAATATATTCATTTTTGCAAGATTTCGTGAATTTCAAAAGCTTTTTGATAACATAAAGGAGAAAGAATTGCTCAAAGAAGGGAGTAAAGGCGCCGACGTTAATGAAGATAAGTTTGTTTAAATATTGATGCATTGTTTTCTTTATAATTGCTTTAAAAGCCGATCGTTGTGTATAATGAAACAAGATAACATGTCATTTCAGTGTATTTTTTTATCACCCTTTTTTATTCTATTGAATTTTTTAAATAAAAAAGAACGCAAACTTATTTGCATGGGAGAATCCGAAATCATTTTATTTCAAACCCAAAGGCAAAAGCAAAGTTTATCCGTAAAGGCAGTTTTAATAGTTTTATAAAGAACATTTTATAACATTTTGCAAAGCGTTTGTTGTTGAATTTTACCTTAAGTTGAAGCTTATAGTACGTATAATAACATACCCTAACATATATATATATATGTTTGGGAAATTGATAATTTGTCATTAAAAGTGATATTTTTAAGAGACCTTTCATTTTGGAAAAACATTCTTAAAAATTTATCGTGTTACCATGACAACTACTTTAAATACTTCATGTTCGGAAAATACATGCAATTGATTTGTCAGCAAGGCGAGGGGTTTCTGCATGCATGCATTTTCTAGTATTATATTAAATCCTTGACTATTGGCCGTAAATGAAGTTCATGATCATACTGTAATTATTGTAGGGCGAGAACTTTGATCTCAGTCGCTATATCAGTAATGGTCAATGGGAAATTAGTCGAACAACATTGGAACAGAAATTGAACTTTTACGGTGGTAATAAATATTCTGAAGTTATATTTACTCTCAAACTACGCCGTCGAGTCCTGTATTACGCAATGTACTTAATAATCCCCGGAACATTAATAGCTCTCTTGGCTGCAATAATATTCGTTCTTCCTCAAGACTGCAGTGAGCGGATAACTGTTGGTAAGTAACAACCGCTGCGTTGTATTATATATTTCAATCATCCATACGTACTATTTAAAGCACGCGTAGGAGTGTTTTAGCGAAACACTCAAAAACGACTTCAAAAACGACTCATCTTATACGAGTTCATTGGCGAAGTAATTTTTAAAATAAACTTTGTCTAAACGGAGAAAATGAAGGCTAAAGTTTATGTAAATTAACATGATTTTTTATCACATATAAAACCACGACACGCTTATGATTTTTCTTTGCGTTTTCCTCCTGGATTATTAATGAGTTTTTGAATGATATTTACATAATAACCTTATTAAGAATTAATGCGATTTGACCTTGTAGATGTCACGTGTTCCAGCTGGTTTCTTCACATCTTACAACACAAGTAATGTTTAAGTGCTTTCCAATCAACATAGTCGCTCAGAACAAAATAATTGCCTTTTTATCGCACGTTTTATTTCTTTAAACCAAGGTTCTTCATTGTTTTGATAAATGTGTATTGTTTCCTTATTATTACCGACTAGCGCATTCTAAGCTCAGCTATTCAGAATTCAGCACGTGACATAAGCAAGCCAATACCATTTCGTTATTTGTATAGATCATGAATACTTCCAAATGTTTGGGGGGAGTAAAAATAAACTATTTATCTGTTTAATTTTGGAATTTTTTTATTTAAACAAAAACAAATAGATTACATTTTCCCATTCTCTGTTCAGTTATTGAACAGAGTATGACGTCATATGTGGCAATTACAATAAGTGACCACTCGCCTAGGCGGCTCGTGAACACTTTTTTGTTCTTACCACATATGACGTCATACTGTATTCTATAACTGAACAGACAATGGGAAAATGTAATCTACTTGTTAATTTTGAAGTTTGGATTGTTGTTAATTTAGGTATGGCGATTCTGGTTGCTCTGTCATTCTTCTTTCTGCTGGTATCGGAGAACGTGCCAGCTTCAGCAAGGGTTTCAAACGTTGAAAGCTACTATGCAATAACAATGATTCAAATGACTGTATCTTTCTTTCTTAATGTTCTCGTATTACGATTCCATCACATGACTGAGGAGAAGGTCCCTGAATGGGTTAAGGTAACAAAAATAACCATATTTTAACCTGCTGTATCCATCGCACTATTTAAAGCTAAGATAATATTAAGAAAGTCAGAAATTTATTGCTGCTTATTTGGTAGACCAAGACGTAAACTGCTAAAAAATAATAATTCGTATAATATAGACTAATTGCTGCCGAAGGCAGCACACTATTCTTCACGATTTGTTTTTCTCGCACCAGTCCGTTTCCGGCCGGTTTTCTCGCACCAGTCCGTTTCCGGTTTATGTATAGCCGAACGACAACTCGATTTTGGAGGTGTACGGATTTTCAGATTTATGACGTATTTTGACGTCACAGAAATTTAAATAACATACTCCAGATTGCGATTTGACTTTCCGAATACCCTGGCTGAGACTCGCGAACACCACCATGGACTACAGTATTACAATTTGTAAACAACACGTTGCCTCGTGCCTTTTGTAAATTTTGATTCCAGTTTATGTCTGGCTATTTATCGAAATTATTCTTCAAGGTAAGATGAAAGTTTGATCACAAATAACAATGTGTTTTGGTCGAATTATTTTACCCACTGAAACGAATGAATCAAAGCTCACATATGACACACAGTGTCAACAAATAAAAGCTCATCAAGCACAAAAATACTTAACGTGTAACAAAAATATGCTCATGAAATCGAAATTAATAGCTAAATTTTCAAACTAGACCTTTCTCGAAGCGGTTTTGATGAAGGAAGTTCACATTTCGGCCTTTGATTCTTGGCAAAAATTTGACCACAACACGTGCGAAGCAACTGGGTCTCAAAGACTGAACTAAAACATTGTGAGCCCCTATTTTCCTGAAGATATGTTTGATACCTACAAACGCCGAAAAGTTTTTTCTTTTCGTTTAGCTATATTTGAAATTGAGGCCACGGGCTATTTTTGAGAAAATGCAGTTCAAAATCAAGCTATTTTTACATATTTTCAAAATTTGTCAAATTTCGCGAGCTTGTATTTTGAACTTATATAGACAGCTGAAGTTACATTAAGAAATATAGGATGGAAAATTTGAGGAATATAAAGTTAATTTCAACTTGCATTTCATGCTCAAATCACGTCTTTCTTCGTTTATTACGGTTTTAAACAAGCCATAGATCGACGTATACGGTATTTACTCCCATGTTCACGTCGCCATATTAACTTCTTTCAATCAAGCGATTACAAAACAATCATCCCAAAACAAAGAATTCATGATCGACTTTTAAAAGAATAACCAATAATTTGTAAATCGTTGAATGGAAAGCAAAAAATCGTCAGCTAAAACAGCTTCTTGCTAACTTTCTGCTTTGTTTTGAATGTAAATGCAATGAGCTTTGTTTCTGCCCGCAATTTTTTGGTCAGCGACGACAAATTTCCCACCTGTTTAGCATGACCGGTTTGCTTTGGCTAGCTTCACCACTGACAGTGTTATATTATACATACAAAAGCAAGAAGTTATAAGTGTTGAAGGTATTCATATAAAACTGCCCATGCCAAGAGAGTAGAATTAGAATATTTAGCTGACCTTTGACCTTGTGCAAGGTGTTCGATATTCAGATTGCAATTTTCCTATCTCTTGATTCCTAAACAGGTGTCTTAAGGCTGTTTCGTGGTGGGATAATTTTTTATGTATTTGAATAAGTCACTAGGCTGTTAAAAGTTCAAATGCAAAGAACTCAAATATTGTAGAGAAGATCTTGTTGTTCAAGAAGATTATTGTTGTTTGAACAACCTTTCGTTTACAGTTGACTATAATCTATCTCTAGAAAATGTTTTTTTGCGGAATTGTGCACTGTGATTCATTTCAATACATCGAAATCATCCCGCCTCATGTCTCGTCCTGGCAAAGCAGTATCGTATAAACAGTTCCTTATTCAGCAATTGCGCATGATGCCATCCCTTGGGGGTGAGGCAGCAATTTCCTTGCGATAGTAACTTCTAGTTTCTACTTTGAATGCACATAATGTAGATACAGATATTTCACAGCACACTCCCTATCAGGGTTTTTCAGTGACTGGTTACATTGCGCATAGATAGACAGAAACTGAACTGACGTGAAGCAGACCGAGATAGACTGTGAGCTTACAAATGGCACTTTAAGCAGACCTTTAAGCGGCGCTTTAATCCATATAAGAATCCATATAGAAGTAATTGATAGGGTGTCCAAAATCTATTGCTCATGAAATGATATTCACGACGCCAGTCTCAATACATCTTTTTTATTATCACGTCATGAATACGTTTTTGGCCAGGGCCTAGCCTTGCTCTCGTGAATCAAGACGGAATGCGATTGGCTCACGATTCATGAATATGAGGCTCCCAGGCCAATAATGTATTCATGACGTAATTTTCGTCATAAAAGGTGTATTCAAATTATCATTTCATAATGAACGAAAGCAAGTGATTGATGTATTATTTATAATTGATGGTATATTATTTATAATAAGTAAACTATAACTTGTTTCATAGAAATACATCTTGAACTACGGTGCCAGATTCTTACGAATGACGTTTCGTGCCAGCAACAATGAGCGACTTCAAAGTGCGAAAAGACGAAAGTTCCTCTTGACACGAAAAAGTAAGTTCGTACTGTATTTAAATTAACTTAATTAACCGCTAGGCAATATACATGTAGATGAGTAGGATAAACAAGAAGAGAGTCGAGTAACTATGTTTCTTTTCTTAACATTCGTCTATACAATCCTGGTCGAAAATATTGCCTCACTTGATACTGTGAAATTTGACTTTGGTCACTACAATAACAAAAAAAACAACCCCTCCCCATTCTATTTATGTGGTGTATTCGACTTGCAATGCGTTACGCTACATTGAATAGAAAGGTATTTTTACCAGAATGTAGTTTTGTGTTAGTCCACAGTCCACTTCCATTTTATACTTTACATATAGTACATGTAAAACAAATAAAAAGAAATATGAGTTTTGGCAAAATAATCTTAATATATTTTTGTAGAAGGGCTTGGTACTATTGTGGAACAAAAAAAGAAACAAAGGGTCCCAATACAATCTTTGGCTGATGACAAGGTAATCGCGAAAGTGTTTGAAACACAGATAAAGATGGCAGCGAGAGACGAAGAGTGGAAAAAAGCTGCCGAAGTTCTCAACAACTACTCACTGATTCTACATGTCCTGGCTGTGTTGCTCACGTTTGGTGTGGTTTTCTTTGACGCACTTTTCCTTTCTAATAAACTGTAACTATATGCAAAATATTATCAACGGAAGATACGTTTTCAAATCCATTTAAAGCAAGTAGGTTAAAATCAGTATTTATTAATATAGATACTGATATTTACGTACGGTTCTATTAATGTGAAAAGCCCTTTCAAGATTAACGTCGACCAATCAGAAACGCGAAACGATTATTTCACACGTGCGAAAAACGTTTCGTCCAATCAGCACTATAGCCCGTGTTTACGTATGAGCGAATTCGTTCACTGTCGGCAATGTTTTTTGCAGAATTTGCTGCTTTTTTCTTAGTTGCTGTTTAAAGTCAATTTTTAATTTGAATTGGACAATTTAACTCGTATGTTGGCAAAAGATTTATAACACTACAAAAGATCTATTTTTTGAAAGGGAATACGAAAGACACAAAAAATATCATGCCAGTTGCACGAAAAGAACAGCGATGTAAGTTGCATTCTATTTAGTTTTTGAAACGAATTATTAATATTTTTCTCTTATTTAAACGAAAAAATATTGTTTGTTATAGTCTAGGCCTTGTTGACTATACATTACTGTCAAATTTAGTTTGAGAGTAAAGTATAATTTTCCTGTAGAAGCGATTTAAAGAAAATATACAATGCCAAAATGAAGTTTTGTTTGAACTTTGCAGTGCTTTATCTTGACTTTGCATGGCCTTTGTCTTTTGAATTAACCAAATTACGTTAAATAAAGGCAATCCATCTAATAGAAAATATCAGTATCTATAAAATAAACAAATTTAGTAATAGGAAGTGCATGCTTTTGTATTGTATTTTCGCACTTGTTAATTAACGTCAGCACTTCCCATTAAGAAATCTCTATACATATGATAATGTGCACATGCAGTTATTAGATAAGTATGGTTTCGGGGCAATTTGGAAGAAAACATGCACAAATTAGTTTTCAAAGACAATCAAAATTGCATGAGACCGAAAAAAGAGCACTGCAATTTGACGTCTTTGTAAAGTACAGAAGTGAATGTTTTTCCAAATTGGAAGAGAAACAAATCTATAATGATACATGAAAATATTGCACGCTTGGTAACACCTTTAGGTTAATAAATGCACGTCATGCAGTATATTATTCAAATATTGAATTGTCTTAACTTCTAACATCTATATGACTCTTTTTCGATATTTTGGTTGACTGAAAATTGTGGTAAAAGTCCGCGATCTGTACAGGGGTCTCACACGCACTATTCAATTCACACGCCCACAATCTTCTGAGCCCGCAATTGGGTATATCAAAAAACCTCTATATTTTAAAGCAAGTCTTGAGTGGAGATAAACGTCGTTCAGCCACGTTTTACTTTGAAAAAATAGTATTGTACTTTTTAGAAGGTTTTATTTCTTCCAGAAAATTTTATATACGCATATTTACAAGTCTGATTTTTCCTATTTTTGTCTCGTCGGGCGCGCCATACCAAGCCGGAGCAATTACATCAATTTGGCAAAGTTACACTATTAAAGCCGTGCAATAATTAAGACATAATACTTATAACAAAAACAGCAGTCATGGGAAGAGGCAAAATAACTGCTGTATTTCAATAAATTTATTCATGCTGAGTATGGCTGTCATTTTTCTAACTGTTCTTCCTTGAGGTGCAGTACATCGTATTTCTTTTCGATCTTGATTCGTTTTGAAGATAGTTTAACCAGGCGTGGAGTCTGTCCTCTTGTTTTCTGCACTTGACCTACAGTACCGCCCACGTATATCTTGTTACTAGTATTTGCGTATGATATGTGTATCATAAGCGTACCTTAAAAGGCTCTATTATATTCTTATTATTGCTGTTGTTGTTGTTGTTGTTGTACTTATATACATTGTTTAGAAATACAAACAATATTTACAACAATTTTACAGAAGAGAATTTGGTTAATCCCCGAGCCACGCGCGGAGCGCGAAGCCCGTGGCGAGGATACTAATTCCGCCCGGCTATATATACATCCGGGGAAGAACTAGCGAAGCCTAAAGTTCATCAATAATCGCGGGCGCATGGCTATACATGGGTGTTCATCTCACTGATCACAAAAATATAGCTGTTTGCCAGGAGTGAAGTAAGTAAATCACCTTGTCCAAATTTTAAAGAAATGATATATGTGAGAAATCCTGAAGTACTGGATTGTTTTTACTGTTTATGTTTGACTTTACTGTCCCATTTTCGCTTGAAGACCTTCCTTGAACTGTTTGAACATGTACAGCACTATAGCTTTCCTTTTCATTCCACCGGTGTGTGAAATTTTCTTTGAATTAATTACCTTTTTTTAATTTTTAAATAAAGCTCAAAAAAAGGAGGGCAAATTATTTACAAGACCTGTAAGATTAAAATTTATTTCATTTCAAAGTGCGAGTAATAAGTTGAAGAGTTTATCGGCAAAAAGCAGTTAATTTGAATGAACATTTAAAAACGTTTTACGAAGCGTTTCGTGTTGAATTTTACATTATAATCAAGCTAATAGAAAGCAAAATAACATACCTACTTTTATATTTTTAGAAATCAATAGTTCTGTGGTTAAAAGTGTAAGACTCCTTTATTTTTGCCGTTTTTTTCTTGTTCAAAAGAATAAGAAAACAATTATCGTGTTGCCATGGCTAACATGACGCGACCAACGCGAGCCGGCGTTCCGTGTTGGCGTAATTAGAATGCTTCATTATAACTCATTTTCTACAATTCATTGTAATATTAGAAGTCTGAATGCAAATTTGATAAACTTAGCACAATGCTCTCTAATATAGATTTTTCATTTAACATCATTGGCCTCACTGAAACAAAAATTAAATTTGATCAAGATATCCTACTTAATCATGTACTTGACGGGTATGAATTTGTGTCTCAACCTACTAATTCTAATGCTGGTGGAGTTGGCTTCTACATAAATAATAACCTAAACTTTAGTATACGAGATGAGTTGTCAATTAGTACGGACGATTTTGAATCCCTTTGGGTTGAAATTGAAATCAAAGGTCAAGCAAATATCCTTTGTGCAGCTTTCTATAGACACCCTCACGGGAGTGCAGAAAACTTCATGAATAATCTTAACGCAAATTTACAAAAAATTAATAGGGAAAAAAAGTATTGTTTAATAATGGGTGATTTCAATTTGGACCTTCTTAAATATGAGAATCATCAAGACACGAACAATTTCATCAATACAATGTCTAGTTTTTTCTTCCATCCGCAAATTTTGCAACCAACGCGAATTACAGATCATTCAGCAACTTTAATTGATAATATTTTTTTTAATTCAATTGAATATATTAAATTTAGTGGAAATTTGGTATATGATTTGACCGATCATCTTCCAAATTTTCTTATTATTAAAAAAATCCATCCTAAAAAATCCAAATTTGAAGTGCATGTACGAGATTATTCCAAATTGAATGAAGGACGTTTTATTGATGAGATTGATCAAACTGATTGGGATCAAGCTTTGTCACATACTACAAATATTGATGATATGTTTGATACATTTCATACTCGCGTAGAGGAGATTGTTAACAAGCATGTTCCTGTAAGGAAACTTTCCAAAAAGGAAATTAAATTAAAAGATAAACCATGGATAACCCAAGCCATTCAAACATCAATACGAAAAAAGAATTCAATATACAAAAAATATATTAAAACTAAATTACATAAGTATTTTTTGAAATTTAAGTATTATAGAAACAAATTAAACCATTTAATTAAAATAAGCAAAAAACAATACTATAATAATTACTTCTCCACTATAAACAATGACAATAAGAAATTATGGAGTGGTATTAAGCAGATCATGGGTAATAACAACCGAAACAAGATGGCTCCTTCAAAATTGATCATTGGTGACCAGGAAATAATTGATAAGAGATCCATAGCTAACGCTTTTAACAGTTTTTTTTCAAGTATTGGTATGAAATTGGCAGAGGCGATACCAAGTGCAAAAACGTCTCCGTATGATTATCTCAAGTATCAAGATGCAGGAAGTTTCTTTTTATCACCAGTTACTTCCACTGAAATAGAAAATGAAATTGCTACGCTAAATCCAAATAAATCAATTGGTCCTTTTAGTATTTCTGTAAAAATGTTGAAACTTTTTAAAACATCATTGTCCAAACCATTGGAAATAATATTTAATTTTTCATTTTCAGCTGGTATCGTACCATGTAAATTCAAAATTGCCAGGGTTATACCTATACATAAAAGCGGATCACAAATGTGTATGAACAACTATAGACCAATCTCATTAATTTCAATTTTTAATAAATTGCTGGAGAAACTAATGCATAGGAGGTTAATGAATTATATTGCTGAAAAGAATATACTCTATCCCAAACAATTTGGGTTTAGATCCAATTACTCAACGGACCATGCAATACTGTGCATTACTGATACCATTCAAAGATCAATTGATAACCAAAAATACTCGTGTGGAATTTTTCTTGATTTCAGTAAGGCTTTCGATACTGTCGATCATGGTATTTTGATTCGTAAATTAGAACTTTATGGCATAAGAGGTATTGCGAGAGACTGGTTTATGTCATACCTAACTAATCGAAAACAATTTGTTTCTATAAAAGATATTAATTCAGAGTATTCAAATATCTCCTGTGGTGTACCACAAGGGACTGTACTCGGTCCTATTCTTTTCCTCTTATACATTAATGACTTTAATAATTGTTCTCAAGTTTTAGATTTTCATTTATTTGCAGATGACTCCAATTTGTTTTATTCCAATAAAAATTTAAAAGATCTTGAACAGACTATTAACGAGGAACTTAAAAATGTTTCTGACTGGTTGGATGCAAATAAATTGTCATTAAATATAACCAAATCTAATTTTGTAATGTTCCATCCTCCTCAGAAGAGATTATTATTTTCATTAAAGATTTATATTAAGGATAAAATTTTGAAGGAGCGAGATTGTATTAAATATTTAGGGGTGATGATTGACACTAATCTTAGATGGAAAGAGCATGTCAATTATATTAATAAAAAAATTAAAAGATCTATTGGCCTGCTCTCGAAGATCAGATATTATGTTGATTTAGGCTGCCTTATTAAATTGTATCATACCTTAATTTATCCATTTTTAATATATGGTGTAGTGGCTTGGGGTAATACGTATCAAACTATCATAAATCCGTTGTTTATCTTACAAAAAAAAGCTGTTCGCATCATGACGTTTTCTAGATTTGATGATCCGTCAAGTTCTTTGTTTAAGTCAACTAAACTGCTGAAACTTGCTGATATAGCATATTTGTATACATCCATTTTTATGTTTAAATATCATAAACATATGCTACCATTGACATTTGATGATTTCTTCGTTAGAGTTAATGAAATACATCATTATAATACTAGACTTTCTGCCAAAACATCATATTCTCTTCCAAAAGTGAAAACAAATTATGGACAATTTAATATACGATACAATGGACCAAAAATTTGGAATTCATTGGATGAATCGATTAAATCGCTGTCAATTTCTAATTTTAAAAAAAAAGATTACTATAGCAATGTTTGATAAATATTAGCTCATTATATATACTGTATACTCATTTTTTGCCATTTTGATTATTTGTTTTGTTGTGTATCAGTCAGCTAATCAATCTTAGAAATTCATAAAATATTACTCTTTTGTGATTATTTTGGTTAGCTGATTGATATATACATATTATATATATATATATTCTTCTACGGTTGCTTATTAAGTTAGCCCATTACGGTTATTTAAGCAACCGGTGTCTTGCAAGTGTGAGTGTGATAAAACTGTAAAAAAATGTAAATTTATATATAGACACAAATAAAAAAATGTTGTAAAAAAAAAAAATGTTGTTGTAAACTTTATGTTGGAAGTGAGATAACTGTGAGTTGGGAGTGAATTATTGGGGAAGTGATGCAGAATGTTTGTATAAAATCTGCTGAATGTTTGTAAATTGTGACTTATATTGCAGTTATTATCATTTTATGTTTTAATAAAATCTATTTAAACTTATTTGTTGAAGAAATGGATTGGAAATGAGCGAAGAAAACGAACATTAGCTGAACAGATGCAGGATGAAAATTTGTCAGAAAGTGTTGATGTGAAAGGTCCTCCCATGAAGCGCATGTCTTCAGGTTACAACATATTTACATCAAAAATGCTCAGTTCAGGTACAAGATACTATTATAATTATAATTATAATTTTCCTAATAGATGCTCAATAACTTATTTTAACATATGTTTAAGATGGTTTGTTCACAGTGGGTTTGTGTACAACAACCCATGCCAGTTACTGTATATCCCTGTTCTTTTTTTTTGTTCCCTGCCATTTTCAACTAGTTAATTGAAATCTGCCCAAGCACGGTCAGATCAGGCAGGTCTTCCACCTCTAGGAGTAATTGTCTGCACTTAAACAGGGCATGCTAATCATAAATCACATGAAAGAAAATGTTCAAAATAAGTAAACTATTTACAGTGTAATACAAGAAGAATGAATTTCAATATTTCAAGCAAAGGCCCAGAAAGGCCCTTCATCAACTAGTAGAACCACAGTACAGTAGTTCTAATACTTGTTGATGAAAAGCCTTTGTTAAAAATGTTGCAATTGGTTCTTGTCGTCACAAAATGTTGATAATAAAATTTCAATTAACCCAAGGGGTATTTCATACTTTTACCAAATATTGCCAGTTTAATTTACCCTGTTTATTCCAGCATGACAGAAAATGGGGTATTTAACCGATGTCGAGATTGAGAGTTAATTAATAATCAAAAATGAATTAGTGAAAAACTATTGTTGAGTGGAAAGGTTTGGCAACCACAACCAGCAAGATTTGTAATAAATATGATGTAATTAATGCTGTACACTACATGTAGATACTGTAATATGATATGTTTTTGCAAATTGCTTGATCTCAAGTGCTGTAACTTAGCTGACCTCACTAGGTAAAGCTATTAAAAAATGCTAGTGAGGTCAGCTAAGTACAGTAGAGTATTCCAATGTCAAGTTGACATTTAATATGCAATGGATGTTTTTATGATTGCATTTATATTGTAGATGCTTGTAAAGAAATTGATTCTAAGGCAGAAAAAATGAGCTATGTTGCTTCAAAGTGGATATCACTAAGAGATAGTGAATGTGTTATGTGGAAGAATGAGGCTAAGAAGTTGCAAAGGATCAAGCCTTCAATGCTAACAGAAGAAGATAAAAAAAAGCAAATCGCAAAAGGAAAAAAAATCTAATGAACGAGGTATACTGTATAAAAGCATGTTCCTATTACAGCATATATATAGCTTAAATTTTTGGTTCAACGAAACACAAACAGTGCTCAATACCATATAGATAGAGCGAAATATAGTTTTTCATTTTACCTAAAAAACCCACAACAGTCTGTTTCATCCGTATAGGAATCATTCGTATAGGAATCATCTATATTGATTAAATAGACTGTCATGGTTTTTTTGAGGTAAAACTATATATATATATATATATATATATATATATATATATATATATATATATATATATATATATATATAATATA